AATCTGAGCGTTTCAGAATAGCATTTCCCTGTGCTGATTTTTCCAAGTTCCCCCTGAGTCTCGCTCAAGTCTGAAGCCTGTACCCCCCGAGCTGGGCTTGCCCACTAGCTCAGCTCACGGAGGGCGCCCCCAGCACTGTGCCTTTCTAATGACACTCACTCAGGAGAAGTGAAGCCACACAAGTTCCTGGGGAAGAGCCTAGGCAGAGAGACAGCATGACAGAGACACCCCCCACCCCCCACCCCCCGCCCCGGTGCAGAACTAAGCGCTTCTACTCTGGGGAAAGAAAGGTCCTTAAAGGCTTCCGGAAGTTGCCGACCTTGAGTGCTCTGAGGGTAGGAGAGGGAGAGTAAGTACAGGGGAAGACTGATGAATTGCACCATGGCTGAAAAATGCGGGCTTCTGCACACTGGGACCAGGCCATTAAAATGGGCAGTCGGGGTCTTCAAGCACAGCAGCAGCATCTCGATCCCAGTCAAGAGACCAGCAGAGCCCTAACCGGTTTGGCTCAGTGGATAGAGCGTCGGCCTGCGGACTGAAAGGTCCCGGGTTCGATTCCGGTCAAGGGCATGTACCTTGGTTCCGGGCACATCTCCAGTAGGGGGTGTGCAGGAGGCAGCTGATTGATGTTTCTCTCTCATCGATGTTTCTAACTCTCTATCTCTCTCCCTTCCTCTCTGTAAAAAATCAATAAAATATATTTTTTAAAAAAAAGAGAGACCAGCAGAGTAGCGGGTGGTGGAGGGACGAGATCAATCAGGGGCTTCTCCAAGGCCCCCAAAAGGCCCCTGAGACCGGGGGGGCGAAAAGGGGCGCTGAGAACAATCTCCCCAGCAGGCCACGGGCCTGAGGTAGGACCAAAGCCTTCCAGGACACCAAGTGTGGGCTTGCCTACAGTTATCACTTCTCCAATCTAACTCGGAATCTAGAACACAGATGAAAATTGCACGTGCTCTGATAAGGCCCATATTGAACTCCTGACTTGGCAAACTTTCTAATAACTTCTGCTAGGTCGGCAGAATGAGCATTCCTCTATTTTGGAAATGAGGAGATGGATTTTAAAAACTCAAATCACTGTGCCTTAGGCCAAATACTTAAGACTACTAATGTTTTAGAACAGAGAATACCTAACTGGGGCTCTTAATAAGGGCCATGGACAACTGTGTACCATGAGAAACTCCTGGGTCTGTGTGCAAAGTTTTGACTATCTACATATTCTTTTTTTTTTTCAATGCTGCTATACATTTTTCTAAGAAGATGGGCTATAAAATCCATACTTTCCAAGGGATCCACACGCCCCCAAAAACAGATTTTTAAAATTATTTCTCAAAAAGAAAGAAAAAAAAGCAAACACAGTTGCATCGTAAGTAGAATAATTAAAATCAACGTTAAAAGCATGAGCATATAATCCATGTTATAAAGAAATTTCACATTAAGGCCAAGATTTAAAGTGTTCTGGCTTATGAACTGTAATGCTAAAATTACGGACATGACCATGTGACATTTCGTATTACAATGGGTGTCCAAACAATAAAATATTGCCGTGCCAACACAAAGAACAAATGGAAACGAAGACAAATCTAAACCTGCCCTTTGCTCGACTAGAACAGAACACCAAATGCCTACATATTTGGTATTTGTGCACATTTAAAAAAAATAATAGTAATTGGACTATCGGGGCGACACAGACGGAATAAGGTGGGGTCCGCCCCCCAGGAGCGCAGGCTGGGGGGAAATACTTACTTCGGAGTCGAACACTGAGAATCTTGGGCTCTGAATGCTGCTGCTGCAGCAGGTCAGGCTGGACAGGGACCCAAGATACTGAGCTAGAGAAGCGGGCTCTGGGACCTGGGGGAGGCTGGAGACACAACGAAGGCAGTCCCAGACACGCTGACACGCTGACACGGTACCATCGACCACGTGAAGGAATCGCCCCCGGGAGAGACTTACTGTTTTTTCAGCTGCCTCTGGCCTCTTCGTTTGGGGCTCCCACTCTCAGACCCGCTACTGGCCTTCGGTGTGTGAGGGGGAGAAATGAGCACAGACTTTAATTCACAGTCATCAGGGTCCGCACGAGCCCGATTAGCAAGTCTACTCAGTATAACACCATTCGACGTGAGCTTCCCGGCAGAAAGAAACCTCAGCAACCCTGACTGGTTTGGCTCAGTGGATAGAGCGTCTACCTGCAGACTCAAGGGTCCCAGGTTTGATTCCGGTCAAGGGCATGTACCTTGGTTGCGGGCACATCCCCAGTAGGAGGTGTGCAGGAGGCAGCTGATCGATGTTTCTCTCTCATCGATGTTTCTAACTCTCTATCCCTATCCCTTCCTCTCTGTAAAAAATCAATAAAATATATTAAAAAAAAAGAAAAGAAAGAAACCTCAGCATTTGTGTGGTGGCGCCCTCTCTCCTTTTGCTTTGAAAATTAATTCGTGTGTCATTTCTGAGTTGTCTCTAACGCCAGGAGGTATTTCTCAGCTTGACTCCAACAAGCGTGCGGGACGGTAGGAGTTTCTGGAATGATGGCATCGCTCTGCATCTGCACAGTCTGTCAGATATCACAGCCAGCAGGCTCCTGTGGCCACCGGGACCCTGAAGTGGGGCTAGAGGGACTCAGGAATGGAATTTTTCATTTTACTCCACTTCAATGAGTATAAATTTTAAACGTCCCATGTCTAGTGGCGATCGTGCAGATCTAGAATGTCACATGAAAATGCCACTGCCCTGACCGGTTTGGCTCAGTGGATAGAGCGTCGGCCTGCGGACTGAAGGGTCCCGGGTTCGATTCCGGTCAAGGGCATGTGCCTTGGTTGCGGGCACATCCCCGGTAGGGGGTGTGCAGGAGGCGGCTGATCGATGTTTCTCTCTCATCGATGTTTCTAACTCTCTATCCCTTTCCCTTCTTCTCTGTGAAAAATCAATAAAATATATTTTAAAAAAAGAAAGAAAACGCCACAACATTGAATGTGTCATTAGCGGTGGTGGTTACTGATCGGTTTCATTTGAGACTCATTCACGAGCATGATCAGCAACAGTGCTCTGCTAACAGCATGTGGGAAGTTCACCGTCAGAGACATCTTTCAACAGCTCTTTCCCGCCAAAGTTAAGCAAAAATGGCCAACCTCCCCCACTGCTCTTACTCTGGTGCCCTACAGAGAATGTGTTAACTTATATTCAAAAGGTTCATACATCTATGTGATTGGTTGTGGCAAAGACAGCTCAGTGACCCAGTCCTACACGCTGTGGGGAAAGAAAGCTAAGGCAAACCAGCTCCGAGGTCAAAATAAAACACCGTAAAGGCAATGCCAATGTTATGGCCAATTAGATTTTTAAAACCGATTAACTAAAATCCACCCCAACTCACTAACCTTTGGCTATCAATATTTAACTTTTAGCAGAAGGATGATATATTGTTAAGAATGGCAAAAGCAGGGGGTCACTTCCCTGAGACCAAAAAAAAGTATCTCTTCAGAATGTAATCTATAAGCCTAACACAGAGGTAAGAATCCACAAAATTATCACAAACTGAGAAAAGTCTGATTCTATAGAAACCATGGAGCCCAGTACTAATTTTAGAAACCACCCATCTCTCACAATTCGACCACAGAGTAAATCTGTGTGAAACTAAACATGAGCTAGGAAACCAAATGTAAAGAAATGAGTTAAAATACATTATTTATGTCAAGTAAACTCTTTTCTCAGAAATACACCTGAAACTCGTTCCATTGTTTTGTATTTGTTTACCAGGCAAGTTACTCAGTGAACAAAAAAGTAGGAGATTTACAACCTAGATACTTAAAAAAAAGTAAATATCTTACTACAATCAATTTCACTATGAGAAACATCCAAAAAAAATTAAAAATTTAAGGCCAGTTCTGTATAGTAATCTTAACCCTCTACTGCAACATTCACTATTACATGCTCTTCCTGGAAAGTTTCTTTTTCTAAAGCCCCACGTGGCTTTCCTTGCTGTGCTAGGTAGAGAAAGTTCTCATTAGTCATTTAACTCCCACCCTGACGTTGAATCTTTGTTCATGGCAATACATGCTGGAGTCGGAAAGGATAAGGTAAGGTAAGGAGCTTCAATATACCCCCTTAAAACATTTCTTTGTCTTACCTCCTCCTTAATATTAAATCGTGATGGTTCTTGTCTGCTTCGGTTTGACCGCCTAACCCCATAAACATCCGGATATTCTTCCCACATCTGTAACATTAACAGACCATGCATGAATCTTTTTTCTCTTGATCCCCACCCCCATTTTCTATTTTCACTACTACTGCAACACGTATTTTAATTTAAGAGCACTCAAGTAACTAAATATCAAAAGGGTTGTTTGGTTAGTTTTGTTTATGGGACAAATAAACTCCCATCTTTAAAAAGAATAAGGCACAATATCCTAGAACACATTAAAGTGTAACAATGGCCCTGGCCGGTTTGGCTCAGTGGATAGAGCGTCGGCCTGTGGACTGAAGGGTCCCAGGTTTGATTCCGGTCAAGGGAATGTACCTTGGTTTCGGGCACATCCCCAGTGGGAAGTGTGGAGGAGGCGGCTGATCGAAGTTTCTCTCTCATCGATGTTTCTAATCTATCCCTCTCCCTTCCTCTCTGTAAAAAATCAATAAAATATATTAAAAACGCCGAGCCAGCTACCGAAAACAAGAGGAACAGGCACTGCAGAACTAGACTCCGATGTAATCCTGTGACCCCGTGTCTTCCGCTTACGAAGGTGGAAAGCCCATAATGGCCTTGGAATGATCTGAGAGGCAGAAGACAGAAGGTCCAACCAGAGGCGTTAGGACAGCGGTTCTCAATCTGTGGGTCGCGACCCCTTTGGCGGTCGAACGACCCTTTCACAGGGGTCGCCTAAGACCATCCTGCATATCAGATATTTACATGACGATTCATCACAGTAGCAACATTACAGTTAGGAAGTAGCCATGAAAATAATGTTATGGTTGGGTCACAACATGAGGAACTGTATTTAAAGGCCCAGAAGGTTGAGAACCACGGCATTAGGACGACCAGGTGGCAGGAGCTCTGGGCCCAAGAGGCAGCAGAGGCCGGACACTGAGCAAGTCTGGCCGAGAAAGGAAGGAGGCAGAGAGCCTTACTCTCATCCCGTCTGCCCACCCCGCCCCCACCCTTTGGAGCCTCTGCTAGAGCCGTGAAATTCTTCAACACGGGTATTTACGAAGCTTTTAGTAACGAGGGTAGAGGCTAAACTATTTTGTGTCCCTATATCAACCAGTTTTATCATTTAAAAATATTAGACAGGCATTCAGGTTCAACTACTGGGACTTTATTACAATATATATACTGGAATGCGTATATCCTAAAATCACCCCAGTTCTTTTAAGGGCTAATGGTATCAATGAAAAGCTACCGTGTAAAAGGGATGTGTATACAGAAAACAAAGAACCTTCTTTAAAAGCTCTCCTTTTAGAATCATCATCGTTTCAGTCACAATGCAATCTTCCTAACTGGCTGTGCTGTCCACGCATTAACTTGATGAACGTTTTAGAACTGATCACCGAAATTTTACAAGTATATTTTAGTATCTCTGCCTGAAGTACTTCTGCCTTGAAATTCAGTCCGTCTTAGCAATGACTCCCCTTCTTTCTGAGTTCCCCCTTCGCCTTTTTAAATGAATTTAAATATACGAAGTCTTATAAGTTAACAGGTGTGAACGCCAGACAGTAACACTATTTCAGCGAAGTTTTAGACACACTACACAAGCCATGCACGGTTGCTATGGTTTCCTTTCATCTCCGCAAATAAAGAACTCTCCACTGTGCATTATTGTACATAAAAAAAGAAAAATTTAACCACCTTTTAATTTTTTTAAAAAGTATATTTTTATTGATTTCACAGAAGAAGGGAGAGGGGGAGAGAAAGAAACATCAATGATGAGAGAAAATCATTAATAGGCTGCCTCCTAAACACCCTCCCTGGGAATCGAACCGTGACCTCCTGGTTTACAGGTCGACGCTCAACCTTTGAGCCACACCGGCTGGGCTTAACCACATTTTTAAAATGTTAAAAAACCAAAATTATAGAAATTTGTCCTTTTGCCCTATAATTTGATGGCTTATGTAATTATTTTCTTTGTAGCCTCTGATCAACAACTAGAGCAGAAAGCAGTCCTCATTTATATCCAGGGGCACTATCCTATATAATAAAAGGCTAATATGCAAATTGACCGAATGGCGCTATGATGCACACTGACCACCAGGGGGTTCAACGCAGGAGCTGCCCCCTGGTGGTCAGTGCGTTCCCACAGGGGGAGCGCTGCTCAGCCAGAAGCCCTGAGCCAGGCTCACGACTGGCGAGTACAGCGGCGGTGGTGGGAGCCTCTCCTGCCTCCACAGCAGCATTATGGATGTCCGACTGCCGGCTTAGGCCTGCTCCAGTCAGATATCCAGAGGGCTCCCGGACTGTGAGAGGGCACAGGCCGGGCTGAAGGACCCCCCTCCCCCCCCACCAAGTGCACGAATTTCGTTCACCGGGCCTCTAGTATTAATAGAAAAGGGGGCTGTGGTTTCCTTATCAAGATACCCAATGGGTTTCCTTGGGAAAGAAAGGTCTGCTAGCTGGTCCCAGCTACAGGCAATTTGTACAGTACAGCAAAAAAGATACCTTCTTCACATCGGCTATCCGTTCCTTCTTAGAGGCTGGCTTCTCTTTGGCTTCCGGAAGGACTGGCTGGGATTTGGACCCCGCCGATTCGCTCTCAGATTCCGACTGACTCTCCGAAGACTCAGAGCTGCTGTTGGACTCACTGCCATGTCCACTTCCTGGGTCGCTGCCCTGCTCGCTCTCCGACTGGCTGCCTGAGTCGGAGCCTGAGGCTTCTTCAGATGCTGAATTACTTAATAAGGAAAAAATACACATAAATTGAAAAAGATTTAAGAACCTCCACATAAATCTGTTTTTAAAAAATCCTCAAAGTAAAATGATTGGATAGTGGCTAATTCTGGTAATAAAAAAAAATCAAAATTTCCAAATTTACTTCTATATTCTTAGATTGCAAATGATATCATTACTATCATTCTCAACATCCTTATTGGCTACCATTTCCTGAGTGCTTATCTGATGCCATATTCCAGTTATTTTATATAAATTAGTTTCTCTGACAAAAATGCAGAATATTATTTTCTCCTTCATTCAGATAAAAAAAAAAATCTGACACTCAGAAGTACTTAAGTAACTCTCCCAGGTGAAACAGGTCGATCTATCTGAATCCAGTAAGTTTTATTTATTTAGTATCATCCCTCCCTCAAGACAAAAACAAAGCAAAATGCAACAGAGAAAAAACCAAACCCAGGCAGGGTTACCCAAGAAGTAAGATTGCAATGCGGCTGTAATTTTCCGATCAATGTCCTAACGATCAGTGCTAATCAGACTGCATGGCAGCTCCCTAAAAACATACACATTCACCCCACACCAGAGGCCCTGGGAACCTCCCGCAGGGAGTCCCAGACCTGGGAGACCTCACAGAAGAAAATGAACACAGAGAACATACTGATGCTAAGGGGAAGGCCTGATGCAATGCAGACTGCTACTGGCCACCCGCATCCCTGCCCTTCCTCACTCCTCAGGGCCCCACCCAGTTTGGCTCAGTGGATAGAGCGTTGGCCTGCGGACCGAAGGGTCCCAGGTTCGATTCTGGTCAAGGGCACGTACCTTAGTTTCGGGCACCTCCCGGCCTTGGCCCTGACTGGGGTGCGTGCAGGAGGCAACCAATCGATGTGTTTCTCTCACTTCGATGTTTCTCTGTCTTTCCCTCTCTCTTCTACTCTCCCTAAAAATCAATGGGAAAATATCCTTGGGTGAGGATTAACCACCACCAACGACAACAACAAAATAAACACTGCTTAGGGAGGCAACCTAAGGCAATTTAAAAACTGGAATTTTCAGGGATTATCCACCATACATACAGAATCCTCATGAAAAATAAGTGTCTGAAACTAACACAAAATAATATTGAATGTAAACTGTAACTGAAAACTAAAAATTTTTTAAAGGAAAATAAGTATCTGAAAATTACTTAAAATCTGAATTGAAAACAAGTTTCATAATTTTTTATTGAACGATCAATACAAGGGAAATATAACGCAAAAACAAATGAAAGGGACTCAAGGCAAAACTGGGATTTTAGATTCCGACAGAAAAATGAACGCTTATGGAAAAAGTTGAGCACTATGTTCATTTGTGAATAAAAATAAGTTGGTATCATTTCGAAATCCTTTTTGAAGCTGGCAAAATGGGGTGATTAAGTATTTCTTACAAACAGACTTTGAACTTGACCAGCATTCGTTCATAGCTATTGTTCCGTTACATTTTAATCGCCATTTCCCGAATGGCCACAAGAGGGCAGCACGGCAACACTTCACGTACGGAGCAGGCCTGTGGGTTCTCCACCCAAGAGCTGCCATTTCAGCGCTTGGGAGGGTGTGTGTGTTTTTTTCCCTAAACTTAACAAAATGGCTGCAGAGCTTGGCAGGGCAAGGTTTTGTTGCTGGTGGAAGCAACATCAGGTCAAAACACAAAGCAATCTACACTGGGATTGCATAAAACCTATTTCCAGACTAAAGCTCTATCGGCGGTAGAACAGCTAGTATTTTTGGAGCACTTATGAATCAGATCCATGCAAACCTCTCCTTTAATCCTTACAACAAAGATGACATAATTACCCTCATCTTACAGCAGAGGCATAGCCCGTGTGTGTGTGTGTGTGTGTGTGTGTGTGTGTGTGTGTGTGTGTGTGATGTCCTCATCTCCACCCCCAGTCTGGAGTATCAATCCACACTACTCAACCTCTAAGTGGTACTGCTGTCCCACCGAGTCATTTGCACATTCTTCAGTTCAACAGATTATTGAGGCGCCCAAGGGTGATGCAGAACAATTCCTTCTAATCACATCTGTGTCAAAGATCTTTATCTCCTCCACCTCTGCCTCAAGGCCTATGATTCTGAACACTAAACCATATAAATGAGGTTAAAAGACAAGGACAGAGAAAAGAAATTTCAATGTACACACAAGAAATGTATACATACAACATAAGAAGAATTGCATATTAAAGAAAAAAAACAATAGATAATTGGGCAAAGGAAATGGGCATGCAACTACAGAAATGAAATGGCCAATAAATTTATGAAAAGGTAATTAAACCTCCCAGGTAATTTGGGATCTGCATTTACAACAATATTTGACACTCATTTGCTTTGCGGAAATTTTAAGGGTCTGATAATATTAAATGATGGTTAAGAAAGGAAAATGGTACTCATATACCATTATTGAAAAAAATCACTAGAAGCTTTGGAAAGCACCTTGACATAATCCAGTAAATCTCAAAATATCCCTATGAATCATGCAATCAAAACTGTGGGTACAGCCCTAGCTGGTCTAGCCCAGGGGATAGAGCAGTGGTCTGCGAACCAAAGCGACCCGGGTTCAATTCTGGTCAAGGGCAAGTACCTTGGTTGCAGGCTCCTCCTTGGCCCAGCCCTGGTCAGGGCTCCTGCAGGAGGCAACCAATCAATATGTTTCTCTCACATCGATGTTTCTCTCTCTTTCCCTCTCTCGAGGATTAAAGAAAAGAAACTGTGGTATGTAATCTAGATAAATTACCAAACTTGTGCAAGGGGCAGGCTGTATAAAATTGTTCAGCGTTCTGAAATCCTAAGATTAAAAACACACACACACACACACAAAACACACAACTCTAAACATTTATGTGTGAAAATGGAAAAAAAAGTGAAATATTCATACTATGCAATGAACAATGACAGACTAGGAGTGAATTAGATCTATAACTGACAATTTCAAAACTATTATGTTTTGGGGGGTATATATTTTTTAACTTTCAGAGAGAGGGATAAAACATCAATGATGAGAATTATTGAGCAGCTGCCTCCTGCACGCCCCCTACTGGGGACTGAGCCCACAACGGGACATGTGCCCTGACTGGGAATCAAACCGTGCCCTCCTGGTTCATAGGTTGATGCTCAATCACTGAGTCACGCCAGCCGGGCAGAAAAGAGCTGTTTTTAACATTACAGAATGATCAGCATTCAGGAGCAGACCTTCCTAGGATTCCACAGTTCTTCTCGAAGTTATTCCGACACTGTTAACTGGAAGTGATTCCAACACTCTTCCCAGAAAAAGGCACATGTATGAAATGCTGCTTACAGTTTCGGGGGATAAAGGCCAATTGCATCAGATTGAGAAATCCAGTGGGGGAAAAACCAGTGGGGAAAAAACCTACCTTTAACGAAGTACGTTTGTAAAATTCCCAACCGGTGCTAGACAGCAGTCATCTTATCTTTATCATGCTACTTAGGGCGCATCAAACATGGCACCCAGGCGTCGATGTCATTAGGGAAAAATGAATTCTAGCAAGAAGCCCGGATAAGGAACAACTGGACAACCATTTCACAAACACCTACCCAATCCAGGTCTGGCAATGGACCAAGGATGATAGAGAACACAAGGCAAGCTTTCTACCAGGTAAGAACGTAAAAAACGTTGCAACCCACTGAAGGGAACCCTCTCCCTTTAATCCCATCCCTTTGGAGCCCTGGGGAGAGATGGGACCAGTTGGACCAAGAATTCCTTTCAGCCCAATAAGCTGTCATCTTTAGACTTTGTAACACAGCAACTTCAGAGGTCAAAGGAGATTGAAAAGGCGAGGCCGCTAACCTCAATAGCAGTAAATAGCACTTGCGCCTGCAGTGTCGTAGGAGGAAGTGGGGTCCCGGGGTCACGCCGCAGAAAAGAAAAAGGAGAAGGCAAGGAGGGCTCACAACTTTCTCAGTAACAACCAACACTCACTCACTGTGGCAAGCGAGGGGCTGAAAGCTCTGGACCAGTGTCTCAGGGCAGCGGTTCTCGACCTGTGGGTTGCGACCCCTTTGGCGGTCGAACGACCCTTTCACAGGGGTCGCCTAAGACCATCGGAAAACACATATAGAATTACATATTGTTTTTGTGATTCATCACGATGCTTTAATTATGTGCCATTTGTAACAATGAAATTGGGGGTCACCACAACATGAGGAACTGTATGAAAGGGTCGCGGCATCAGGAAGGTTGAGAACCACTGGGCTAGACAATCCTTTGCTGTGGGGGTTGTCCTGTGTGCTGCAGGATTGTAGGGTGCTCCCAGCATCCCTAGCCTCTACCCACTTGATGCCAGTTGCTTCCCAGCCCCAACCAAAAAGATCTCCAGCCAAAAGTCATGGGGGGAGGGGGAGGGAGCAGGAGGGAAGGGGGTGTCCTTAGTTGAAAAATCATTGCTTCAGAGGTATTATTTTATTTAACCCCTGGAGTGCCAGGGAGCGCGATCACGCTCCTCGTCTTTCGCCACAAGTGCCGGAAGCGCTATCATAATTTTTTTCCTAAACTGCTGTAAAAATCAGCAAAAATGCCTTGGAATTTTAGCCTAGTTCCTAGGAGATTGGTTGGCACTCAAAGGGTTAATTCTAACTTTCCCCCAAGAGACACACCACACATTCAAGAGCCATTACCCTGAAGGACCCACCGGGACACACGTACTGCTGAAGCCCTAAAGTCCAATCAGGTAGGCGCTCGTTTTGTGGGTTTGGGTTTTTTTTTTAAGTGATTGTCACGCCACGCCTATTTGCAAACTAAGTTTCGAACAAAACAAATCGGAGGCAAAGTCCGATCTTGGCCGAGGGGAGTCACAGGGCACCAGGGCAGAGTTCTTCTGAGGTCGCTGGGACACCCTCTCCTGCCCGCCCCGCCTCTGCGCAAACCACCCCCACGCGGTCTCCCAAACCGCCCCGTGGGAACCACGTCTGAGGTCAAATCACAGCCTTTTGAACAGCCCTGTGTTCTGGCATCAAT